CTGTTTTTCATTCACCATTATGTTTCCAATTGTTCTTTATTGTACACCCATTTATCGTTCCACTTCTATATATACAGCCATTTTATGATATATATTTAAGATCTATAGTAATCTATTTTGATATATCCACACATGGGGAGATACGTATTATCATCAAGCAGATTAAAATATTGCTCACCTAAAACTTTTTACCTATCAAGTTAACAGTACTTACCTATTAACCTTCACTTGTCAGCTTTAAATACCCTAGAGTTTCTTGGGAAAACAATCTCAATTGAGGGGTTGCCCAAATAATATTGACCTGTGGATATAACTGTGGGAAACTTATAATTGTTAATTGATATAGGGGAGCCCAACTCACTGTGGTTGACACCATTCCCTCACCTGGTAGTCTAAGACCCTATTATAAAGATAACTAAGTATTTATTACCCTGTGATCAGGGCAGCATGTAGCATTCTTTTTTGTTGTTGTTGTTGTTGTTTTGCTTTGTTTTTTTTTTTTGTTTGTTTGTTTTTTCCTTTACTCTAGGCTTTCTTTCCAGGTTCTCCCTTGAGTTTTTTTTTTTTTTTTTCCTCTGGTTTTCTTCAATTATGGTCTGTAATCTGGATGTGTAAGCTACTCTTGTTTAGAGTGTTTTTTTTTTAAATACTAAAATATAATATAGTAAGATAACACAAAAACTAAGAAAAATAGGAGTCGACAAAAGAAACGATAGAAGAAGAGTCTAAGAAAAGGCAGAAGGATCAGAGACACACTTGAGCACACACTCAGGTATCCTATAAACATGCTAAACTGAAAGACATATTACATTTTCAAAAGACCTGGTGAGGATTCATGCAGGCCTTAAGCATGCTGATAAAGTCTCTGTGAGTTCACATGAGCTTTACTCATGTTGACTGAGAAATTTTTTTTTCCATGGTGTCCTGCCTCCACTCTGTTCTCACACCCTTTCTGTCTCCTCTTTTGCAGGGTTCCCTGACCCCTCAGAGGAGGTGGATTTTATGTTATACAACACAGAACAGAAACCAGAACAAGCACTTTTTAGTTCATGCTCCTACCATTCCACAGTGCAAGAACAGACTCACTGGCCTGACAAACTTTAACCATCATTACACACAATATTTCTATGTATTTACCATTTAAAAATTCAAATTTAAATGCAATTATTCAATAGTTTTGTCTCTGTCTCTAATTAACATAATGTCCTTCAAATTAGCCTATGGTTAGAAAAAAGAACACTATCTCCTTTTATGGATGAATCATATTTACCACAATTAATTTATATATATAAATATATATATATATATATATATATATACATTGTTCTCATGTTTTGGCTATAGTTAGTAATAACTCTTCAAGATTCGAATTTCATTTTCTTTTGGTCCATACCCAGAAAGTTACTTCCAGGTCACATAGTAATTCTGTTTTCATTTATTGAAGAATGGTGATACTTGTGTCTGTTTAATACCTCATGTTTTATTCAGAGGATATTTGTTCTCCATGATGTCTCATTTTTACCAACCAAGGAACATTAACTATTCTCTGCATTTCATGAATAAAAACAGAAACAAAAAGGAAAACACTAAGAACTAATCTACCCATAGGACTCATAAATTTAGGGTTTAAGTTATTTATAATGTTATTTTTAATTAGAATACTAATGATAAATATTAGAAATCAATGTTGGGAGCCTGCAAAAAAGAATAAGAGAATGGCTTGCATGTATTTTTAGATAGCAATTTGAGAAATTTAACATATTCATCATTTCTCAGTGGATTGCCTGAAACCATGATATAACGGGGTTTTACTACAGTTTACATATTCAGAACCTATATTAATAGCTTAAGTACCAGGAATTTAGTCCTGTTTCATGAAACTTTCATGTAAATTTGGTATTCTCTAATATGTTCTCTTATTTGTTTCAGTATTAACACATTGACTGAGAGGCAGAGTCTAGCCTGAAAATTGCTTAAGTTAAGACTATATTGACTGGGTTAGAGGAAGGAAGATCTTTGTCAGTTCAAGGCCAGTCTGCTCTACGTAGTTGGTTCTGGGCCAGCAAGTACTACATAATGAGGTCACATCTCGGAAAAATACTAATTCTAATACTGAAGAGAGATTTACAATAGTGTAATGAATAATAAAATAAAGCCAGAATTAGAATTTCCCCTTGTCTGTGGGGGAGATTAAAATAATGTGTTACTCAATTTCTCCTTTTCTCCTCAGTTCATATAGATGTGTGTCTTTGTGTACAAAAAGTGTGTTTGTAAAATATGCAAATTCAGTTTATACATAATGTATAAATGAGTGTGCACATGCTATAGTAAATAATTTCATATAAATATATTGGTAAAACAGCTCTACATTGTTGTACAACAAATCATATCAAAATATAATATTATATTTTGCTGTTTTTCCTGAATTTATTGATCAACCCCGAAAATTTGCTGTTATGATCCAGGCTTTGATAATACTATCTGACTTTGCTTATATATATCAATCATGATCTGAGTGTTCACATGGGCAACTCAATGCTGATTAATTCATTGCCTGTTGGCTAGTGTGCCTGGCATAGTAATCTTGTCTTTCGTAATTCATCCATTTACAGTAAGTCTGATCAGAGGGTAATATCAAGGTCATGGAAGAGAGGAAGCACACATATGCAAACACTCTAATTGCAAGAGCACATACCAAGTCCATTACAAATGGAACAATAGTTTTTTTTTTTTTGTCCTCATTAAGACAATCTAAAAGTTGATTTTGCAAGTTTATGGACACAAAAAAAGAACTAGAACTTAAAGAACTTGAATTTTGTTTCTAACCAATGTGTCATAACACATTAGTTTTCATAATTATATTCAATGATAAATTATCTTTAAGTGAATACTAAAATGAATTAACATATTAATATAAGACTTTGTAAAGATTCAATAAAAGTGATTGAGCTATTATTAAAAGTTTGAACAGAATGATGGAATCAATATAGTTTACGAGATATATGTATTTGTAGTAATTGTACCTACTATTTATATTTAAGAAAGTGTGAACATATCCATTTTCCTGTATTTCTACATAATGAGGTTCAAAAATTAAAAAAAATCATGTTGTTTCCTTCTTTCTTAGGACAAAAAGATAAAAATAGCAAACAAACAAAAAATAAAGTCTTAAGTAAAAACAAAAAGTAGAATGTGATCATTCTCGTAAGGCAACATAGAAAAGCCAGTGATAAGAACTATTTAAATCACTATTAAATATCTTCTTCTTCTTCTTCTTCTTCTTCTTCTTCTTCTTCTTCTTCTTCTTCTTCTTCTTCTTCTTCTTCTCCTCCTCCTCTTCTTCTTCTTCTGGAAAACACTTTATGGTGAATGATGCCAGTGTAGTAGGAAGTCTTAGAGGACCCGGAAGCCCAGGACAAGGAAGCCATAGTGGCACATGTGGGATTTGGCAGTGGTGTAAGGTGTCACGGTCATAGTTGAGGCTGTAGCTGTAGTTGAGGCTTAGAAGCTCTTGTAGGTGAAACAGAAGACAAGGAGTAAACCTGTCACCAACCTGGACTGCCTAGTTAAGAACATGAACACCAAGACCTGGAGGAGATCTACAAGTTCTCTCTACTAAGGCATCTGAGATTATTGATTTTAGGAGCATCCTTGGTGGATGATGTTCTAAAGATCATGCCAGTCAAACTTGGGCTAGTCAGCAGACTAGGTTCAACCCAAGGCCATCTTTGGTGCCTTCTCTAAGCCCTACATGATACCAGGTCTCTGGAAAGAGACTGTGTTCACAAAGTCTCCTTATTAAGAATTCACTGACCATCTTGTGAAAATGCCCACCAGAGTCTCAGTTCATCAGACCCAGGTTCCAACTGTGGCCATCTCATAAGGGATTTTATATAAGAAAAATAATGTGAATTAGGTCTGTTTTAAAAAAGAAAAAGAAAAAAGTGACCCAATATTATTAATACTTTAAAGAGAAATGTTAGACATTGCTAAGAGACCTTGTGGCAGTGGGATTCTAAGAGGACCAATGGGGAAAGAGGGGACTCCAGGTCCTATAAAAAAAATGCAGCCTGGAGTCCATTTAGTGGAGTCACAGTCCCAAGGATTTTTCCCATTCTGAAGAGAGCTGTTGGCTTGTTGAAATAAAGCTGTTACCATTGATTTAAAAAAATGACAACAATAATCAATACAGAATGGACTCATATTTCTAGTACTTATTAGCAGCAGCATGTCGATTTTAAAAATAAATTTATATTTCAACAACTATTTAATTTTTATATACTTTCAATGTTTACTCAAAAATTATACAAACTAATGTATAAATATACAGTTTTCAAATGGATTAAATAAGAATGTTGTTATCAAAATATGCTTTATATTTTCAGAAATAAAGAGATTTTGATTATTAAGTGTTTCACATACACTATGCATATCTTAAAGAAATGGAATATTTATTGTGAAAATTATTCCACCAAAAGACAGAATTAAGTCAAAAGCCACAAATCCACAAATTTTGGTTTCTGGAGTTATGAAATCTTTGATTTTATAGCCATTTTTTCCTAAATATTTTCTCAATGACTTTCCATATGTTTCCAGAAGCTGAGGCTTTCTCTGTTTGCCAAAAATGCACTTGAATGTGTTGTTAGTCCAAGAAAGAAAGCTTTCTTTTTGCTATGGGTCATTAACCAAGGCCTTTGATCTACTTTCCTTACTAGCTGTCTGAATCCACATCATCAGAGAGGTAAAGCATAGGAATTTTAAGAGGAAACACCTAAGCAGGTAGAATGTCAGTAATGGTATATGCTTTGTGTATATCATCAAATGGCAACAAGCTGGAATTAGGAACATGATATAATTTTACTCTTCAGGATGTCATTTCTCCCTTAGCACTTATATAAGAAAGAACACCTAAAGTATTTATTAAATTTATGACTGCTCACTCACTATTTTTTTTTTTTAATTTTCTGGATGGTCCTTTTCATCTTGCTACCTGCTGTCAGAGGCCTCTATGTAGCACCAGAGGAGAATTCTTCACTCTCGAGTCTGGGCTCGGCAACTCTGCAAAGGAGTTCAGAGATCCACAATCAAAGCCTTCAATGGGAGCAGAGAAATGACATAAGAGCCATTTCAGCGAGACCAGAGAGCTGAGCTCCAGGAGTGAGTTACTAGGGCAGTTCCCTCAGGCCATCCACTGAGAACCTACCTCCCTGATCGGGTTATGCTGAAGTTTCCAGTTCTCAAAAAAAGTTTCCCTTGACACTGACATGACACTTTTTTTTCTATGTCCTCAGGACAAAGACAAGAAAAGAAAAGCAGAATGCTGTCTGAAAATGGAATTGTTGACAGAATGACCCAAGTAATACCAATTAGGCTTGGTGGATAGTACAGCAGGGAGAAGCTCTTCTTGTCTCTTCTGAGTCCCTGGAATATACCAGAAATCTTAGATGTATTATGTTCAACACAAAACATCCTCAAAATGTGATGAAGTAAAAGGCATAAAAATGTACCTATATGAACACATATGTATGTGCTTTGTATATTTATGACCCCACATGTGTGGGCTTATGTATGTATATACAATTACATGTGTATATGCCCCAGAAACATTTTCTTAAAATATTAAAAAGAAATAATTTTCTACATTCATTTCCACTTTTCAGTTATTTGGGAGATAAATATATTGAAGACATTCATGAACAGTTTTTGCTGCATTTGGGCTTATTGTATGTCCAACAAGACTTAAACCTGCTGTGAGTGTCTCAGACCTTAACCAGAAAATTAAATGAGGCACTTTAAGCAAAAATACCTCAAGGAAGTTTTGAAAACATCTGATATGTTGTATATAAGTAAAATGGTATATTTGCATATGATGTTGTGTAAACTTAATATTCTCTAGCATGCGATACAATGGAAAGTAAGTACATAAAGAAACATCCAATCACACAACATGATCATATATTTATAGTTTTTATTTCTTCCTGTTCAGAGGGATGAAAAATAGGGAGGAAATATTTGTAAAATCTTCTTGTATGCTATATATTTTGTTTGCCAATTGAGGAGTCAATTTCAAGTAAATATTGAGTAACTGCATTACATCAAGTCTCCCTAAGAAAAGTGTAAAACCCATTCCTGGTCACAAGGTTAATTAAAAAAAAAACAAAAAACAGGAGAACCCAAAGAAAAACAGATAGGCATCCTCCTGAATATTAACCTTCATCAGGCGATGAAAGGTGACAGAGACCCACATTGGAGCACCGGACTGAAATCTCAAGGTCCAAACCAGGAGAAGAAGGAGAGAGAGCACGAGCAAGGAACTCAGGACCGCGAGGGGTGCACCCACACACTGAGACAATGGGGATGTTCTATCGGGAACTCACCAAGGCCAGCTGGCCTAGATCTGAAAAAGCCTGGGATAAAACTGGACTCGCTGAACATAGTGGACAATGAGGACTACTGAGACTCAAGAACAATGGCAATAGGTTTTTGATCCTACTGCACGTACTGGCTTTGTGGGAGCCTAGGCAGTTTGGATGCTCACCTTACTAGACCTGGATGGAGGTGGGTGGCCCTTGGACTTCCCACAGGGCATGGAACCCTGATTGCTCTTTGGGCTGATGAGGGAGGGGGACTTGATTGGGGGAGGGGGAGGGAAAGGGGAGGCGGCAGTGGGGAAGAGACAAAAATCTTTAATAAATAAAAAAATAAAGTAGAAATTCTAAAATTAAAAAAAAATCAGGACTTTTCTCACACTTTTCTTCTGTTGATTTCAACATTTGGGTACTTTGCATTTTATTGTCAGTCTTTCCCAGACTTTCCTGTGTAAGTACATTTTTGAGCTATTATTTACATAGACATACATTAAAGAGAAACTCATGGGTTAGTGTTAAATAATTTCATTTTTTTAAAAAAAGAACCACAAAAATGTGTGCATTGAAGGGCATGGATGATGACCAAAATTAAAATTATTCATACCTTTTTGCTCCACAGAATAAGGAAACATTAAGCCTATCACAAGAACGCTGTCATCTTAATCCTTACAGATGTTAAATGACTCAAACTGGATAAATCTCTTCTACTGCTGATTCCCTTACTAAGTGGATAAAAGAACTAAAAGCAAGATAACCTGGGAAGTTTAAGTATCTTATTAAAATAGTAAGGATTTAAACTATAAAATCATCTTCCCCAAGTAAGGATTACATATAATTCTGATATTATTCTACCATCTAAAAATGTAAGAAAGAAACACAATTTTGCAACAAGAAAAAAGAGCATGATTGGCGAAGAAAATATCCACTTTTGCAAAGAGATCACAATAAATAGATTAACCAAAATAGAAGTTGTTGGAAAAAATGAAATTGCTTAGAAATTCATTAAAAATTTTACTGACCTACTTTCCAGTCAACAAAATGGCAATAACAATGTGTCAGTTATATGTTTTGCTGGAATTAGAATACAAGACAAAGAAAATAATGAAAAAGGAAGAGGGAAAAATAGTAGCTAAAACTTCTCATGAATTTTCTTCACGAGGAGAAACTGAATTGAAATAAAATTTCAAAAGCTTACCACTTTCTAGAATAGAAAAACATGTACTATTCTAAGATATTTTTAACAAAATCAACTGTAATTGCAACTTATATGATCTTTTTACTCTTGCAGATATGCAGTCTGTTTGTAGCAGTAATGGGAAGGCTGTTTACATATCAAATTTTTAAATATTTAAATTTACATATCAAGCTAAAAGTAGAAGGATTACAGACTGGTCACTTATTTTGAGAAAGAAGTACACACAATGATTTTGAAGGTCAAATCTGAATACCTTGGACCCCTCTGAAGTTTTGTTGGAATGGAGAGGCTAAGGAAAGGCAATTCTCAAGGTGTTCCTCTGTGCCTTATGGTCAGCAAGGCAAAACATCTGACATTCATTAGTATGGGAACCAAACTTTATCACGTGTCTCCAAACTGTAAAACAGCTAAGATTTTTATTTGTTTCCATTGATGCCCACCTAAAGTTGCAAACAATTTTGCTGTAATTTTGATTAAACAATTAACATGGAAGGAAAACTCGAGAAAGCTCAGTGACCTAATCACACTGAGTAGGTGTCTAGGAACAAATTTGGGAGTTGAGTCATGGGCTTTCATTCATGAAGACTTCCTTGTTAGGGCTGCGTCACTGCTTCAAGAGGATGATATATTTTACTGTTTGAAAATAATCTAAGTCTTTTTCAGAGTCTGTAATTTTTTTTTTTTTGAAAGAAAGAAGTATTTTGATCTTTCTTCCCCAAATGTAGCATGGGAGGCTGGAATTTTCAGGAGGAATGAGATAGGTGGGTTAGAGAGGGAGAAAGAGAGGAACAGAGAAATAGTGATGGGCTGGGGGAGAAGAAGGAGGGGGAAATGGAAGGAAAGAAGAAGTGGCAGAGACAAAGACAGACACAGAGAGGTTCTTTCTGTGGTAATCTAGTCAAATATATCAGACATGTTGAATGTGAAACATATATTTAACAATATTTATTATTTTAAATAGCTTTAAATAGATATATAGAAACCACTAAGGAAAATACCGTAAAACAATCACAGTGAGATACATAGCTCTCTCAAGGCTATCCTGTTTCTCAAGTCTCCGTTTTTCTTAACGTTACAAGGTACCACTTCCATGCTCTTCCTTCTGCTTTTGTTAATGCTGCTTTTACTGATTTCTTCATCTGCCCTGTAAATGTGGATATATTCGGTCCATTGTTGCTACAGTCAATAGATTCTTTCTAGATAAAACAGCAACATCCATCACCTACTCCCCAGTTGTACCACTAATACTAGAGTCCGGCTTTGAAAATATAAAACAGATCAATTCACTGTGTCTTCCTTTAATTTAGCTCAGGAATTGCTTTCACTACCAATTTCCCCAAATCCCCATCCTTCAATTATGTACTGCTGTCCTTATTAACTGCTTAAAGTTAGATGCACATACTTTTTTTTTTTTTTTTTTTTTTTTTAGAATTTATTCTTTGGTCTCTTTTCCCACTACAATTTCTGTTAATTTTGGAGAAGGTAACCTAATTTTATGAACTATTCCCCAGAATATTTCCTAATATCAGTAGAAGGACAAGGGAGTACTGCAGCTCAGTAAAGGCATCTCACAAGTTAGTGTCTATGGGAATCATCTAGAGAACATTCAGTTTTAACACCGAATTACAGACCTACTCCTAGGGGTTGTAATTCAGTAGGGCTGAAATGGGGTAGAATTGGATTTTTCTAGTAAAACAGTAGGTCCTGCTTAGGCTTCTTTTCTTAAAGACAGGTTTTCTGCTCATTTCCATATCCTCTCTCTTGATATTTTGTTGAGTACATGTTTCTCTAGAGTGTGGGAAAGAATCTGCCTTTATTCTAATCGATGTAAAATTTCACTTTCATGACTTACATGATAGATTTGAGCTTCAATTTCAGAAAAAAAAGAAAGAGGTTTTATTGCTTGTCTGAAAGGAACAAGTAGTCATATGTGGTAAACATATGATATAGTAAACATCCTGCACAAATATGATTTATCAGAGCTGTGAACAGGATACCTATATCCTGAGAGTGTGTTCCAACAGCAGTGAGAGAAGCTAAGCCCTTCCAAGTAAATTCAAGGAAATGGAATTTATCAAAAGCTTAAGTGATATGCAAAGTGTACTGTTATCGCCAATGTAGCTGGTTCTAGGTGGCACAAACCTTCCGTGAAGTCTGAGGAGGATTCTGGATAGAGGATTCAAAGAGAGATAAACTTTATTTGCCTAACTCACAGGCCATGGGGTAAAAAGTGAGGCTTGAAACTATTTCTTGTAGCTTGTGCTGAATATAACATCTCATAAAAGATGCTATTTTCAGAATACATCTCCCCAAACATCAGTTACCCCTGAGATAGAGTTCCAAACTGGGTACATTCCCTGTATTGCAAGTGCCTGTTTTCTTTCTATAGCAACACTGTATTGTTTTCCCTTGTAGTTTTTGCCACGTTACTTCAATATTTGTCTTTACATTTGGAGCATGCTGTCATGAACATAAGTCAAGATCTTGCAGTACGTTTTCACAGATAATTCACCCAAAATGTACCTGCATTTTCTTCCTTCAAAATATATTTCCAGTGATTTATTTTCTGTAGAAGGTGGAGAAACTTCAGATCTGCTGGACCTGAAAGTATAAGAAGTTGTGAGCTGCCTGACCTGGGTGCTGTGAGCCAAACTTAGATCCTTTCAAAGAACAACATGAGTGTGTGTGTGAGCATGCGCACATGCACATGTGTGTGCTTACATGCTTAAATGTTCTCTGCGCCAATAGATCATTTATAATTTATTAAAATGTCATTCATTAACAAAACATACTCTGGTAATAGAGGGTTATATTTGTAAAAAAAAAAAAAGAATAAATAGGTGGCTAGGGAGATGGATCAGTGGTTTAGACTGTTCGTTGCTCTTCCAAAGGACCAGGGTTTCATTCTTTGCAACCACTTTGTGACTTGCAACTAGGGAACTCCTGTCACAGAGGATCTTCTAGACTCTGTGATGACTGCATTCACATGACTTGAAGACATACATGCAGGCAAAACAGCAATATAAATAAATTAAAAAATACTGAAAAGTCATGATTTTGTGACAACTCTGTAGAATGATAAATTAGTTATACATTATCTCCAAGACCTAAGTGCTACTGTCGCACCTTCTGTGATGTCTTGCAGCTCTCATTAATGCTGTGGTTCATAGACTTTACAGTTACAGCTGGGTAAGACTATTGATGGTTTTTGTTTTTCATTTTTTTTTAATTCCTTGACAGATTACATTGTATCTTATGATACTTTTATAGGGAAGAGACTTCTGCATCAGAGGTTTACTACTACAGAAGACATTTATTTCTACATGCCCTTTTTAGTCTCCCAAGTCAAGTGCCCGAAGTTGTGCTGTCTTCAATATTGGGGCTTTACTTAGAACATTTGGAAAACAATGGCTACGGAAATTGCCTATATTGTTTGGGAAGTATCTTGAACTCCTTGACCAACAGATGGAAAGGAGGCTTCCATTGTTTGATGCTGTGGTTTTTGTTAGTCTATGGCTTTGAACAGTGTGTTACTATGCTCCAATATATGTGTAT